TAAAAGGACTTAGGCATACAGTTGCCGAAGTGGTACCCATTCATCATACTTATAAATTAAGCAGAGTGGCTATTTAAGTGGAACTTTCATCCAACCCAAATCCACGTGGATGGATCCTGAAGGCGAAATTGGGAGACACTATGGATAATTGGAATGAGAAATAAAGTTATGCAATTATACCATAGTAAGTGCAAAAATTGAGGCAATAAACAAATCGCCCTTACCAATAATAGATATAAGATAGATACAAAAATAAAGTCCATTAGGTTTAGGGTGGGAACAAAAATTCATCGGCAAAACAAAATAGATGATTAGAATGCAGCAACACTTACTTTGAAACAGAATAGGAGGGAGAAAGGAAGAGTTAACACGAAGGCAATGAGAGCGAAGATCCGCAGCAGTCGTTCTAGGAACCATTCCTCATCTGAATGCACCGGTTCAATACGTCTACCACCCAAGGTAAAGGCCTTTGGTGCAAAAGCCCTCTTCTTGGCACTCTGTGAGGCTTTCTTCGGTTTCACAATCCTTGGTGGGGAGTAGGGCATTGTAGTTGCAGCTGTCAAGCTTGGCTGAGAGTGGGGCGAAGTAGACTGAAGTTTTTCCTCCATTTCCAGTACTTGTTCCACTAGAGTTGGATTCTGGATCCGCCACGCCTCAGTACCAAAGCCCTGGCGTTGAATAGTCCTTCCCCCTCCTCCCCCTCCCCTCCACGATGCAGTAGCTGTTGATTCTCTCTCCTCACCTCGATGATTTTGTCCAGTTTTTGTAGACCACCCACGCCACATATCGTCTTCCGACAGCGTTACCGATTTTCGACGAACCGTTGTCACCGGGACGGTCAGACGGTACTCAGAGAGGTTTTGAGGAGCCAAATCCGAGTTTGCCGGCAGCGGATTGACACTAATGTTGCCGGAGCGAAGGTTGTAAATGATGGCCAATGGGGGCTCGGCTGTGCCGAGGTTAGGTGCTGGCACTAAGACACTGGGTGTGGTTGACGTCATTGTGGTGGCCAATCAGGGTGAAGACATGTGCGACATTTCAACGTCCACGCGCTTCGTTCGTGTGTGGGAGTGACCGTAGAGGTGGGTTAATGGCAAATTACAGATGTTCGTCCACAAAGAGTCTACTCAATTTGACCTCTCACCCACAAGCAAAACTTTATTATTATGCCGATGCGACCGCAATGCGAAGCTCGTGATTGGCTCGCTGTGGGCTCAACCAATCAAACCGCTGGTCGAGGTGATGGCTTTGAGAAAGTTTTAATTGGGTCAGGCTCACCTAATTGCTCTTTGCCCTTAAAATCTGTCGGGGTTTCTGAAGATAAAATTCATTAGCTATTAACTTTATGACCCCAATTAGGTAGTGACAATAATAAACGAATTCTAGTTGTTTATTAGGCGGGAAATTTCTACAATTTGTGGTTGAAAAGTGCTAAGGTTTGTCCTTTTCCTTGGGTTTAAAATTCCAATTTATACACAATTTCTACAAAAAATCGTATTAGTGAGAGCTACCGACAGAATAAGGCTGATTAAGGCGACAAGGAAATTGTCACAGATGAAAGTTTTTTTTTCAACTTTTGACCAAGGTACCAATACGAGTTGCCGTTTAGGAGATAACAACGTCTTTTAAGAGCAATTTTTACAGAAATCGTAGTGCTTTAATTTGTTGCTTAAAACCAATTTTGGCAGCAAGTTACTTATAGCTTCACCAGTGGCCTGGCATTAGGACCATTCCATTAGCCTCCAAACCCTCCTGTAGGTCGATAGTACATTTTCCCCGAGTAATGTGTCGGCTTAAGTCTTCAAGGAAGTCTCAGCACGCTGCAAAATTTACTGGACTTTTTTGGGACAAAATAGATTCATTTATATTTGCCTCCCAATTTCACCTTCTAAACAAGAAAGTAGGGCGCTTTTTTCATTTTGGGGGCTGATTCTGCTGAATTACAAATGGTTGACACAACAAAATCACCTCTTGATGTTGACAGTGGACAGAGATGAAAAAGCCCTGGTCTAGAGAAAAGAAGAAGCTAAATACAAAAACCATTCAGCATGTGTCACCAGAGGCTGCTGGTTAATAAACAAAAAATTTTTTAGAAAGAAGCTTAAATGCCCACTATATGTTCCAATTTTCTCGAATAGATTATCTATTTTTCCATTTCCTACCACCATTTCAGCCTTCTTACCAAGATAAGTAGGCCAGAAGCTTTCAGCTTTTCTGCAATAGTGGCATGCTTTGAAAATTTCGGAGAAAGTAGTAATTTTAGGCTGATTTTGTTGTCTGCTGTTCAGACACTGAGATTGAGGCACAAAACTTTAACTGTCTTACAACCAACTTGGGCAACGTATAGCTAGTTGTTAAATTATCCCTTACTATGTGTATCCCAACTTAGATTTAAGGCAGCTCTCTATAGTCTACGAGAAAACTTTTTCTAAGGGACTAAACCAGGGAATGTAGTATCCTCCAAACTTAGTGCTGGCACTATCTTAAGGCCGAAGAACTTGGCTGTCAATGGACAAAACTGAGACATGACTAGTTTTAGTTGAAAGCAGAAGTTGGTAAAAACCTTTTTATCATTTTGTCTCTCCATCTACCAAAAAAATAAATGTTTCAAGTGTTGATGATTTGTCTGTTGGTGAATGACATTGATAATTCATGAGGCGGTAGGATTTCCTCTTAAAGCATCCCATCCTCCATGTTCGAAAAATTTTTCTTTGAAAAAATCTGGGTTCGTAGATTAGAGAACGGAATTTGCATACCTCTCTGTGAGTAAAAGTATGTCGCAGCTAGTGTAGAAATTTCAGAGTATTCGTTGTGTACACCCAAAATGGAACATTAAAGTTGGTTTACACAAACTGATGGAACACACCACCAGGATCCAGCAAAAGAGGAATGTAAACTCAAGAAAAGTGAATAAATAAGCATCTGTACTGTTACGACAATTGGTTTAACACTCCGTTTTGTTTCATCGGCAATTGAGGTTCTGTAATTGTGACTTCGCTGCCTTTGGAGACCATGCAGTGCCCTGTTAACCATCCTAATATACTTATTACATTATAAGTGGGCAGGATTGTGGCTGTTTAATTATTTTAATTAGTGATTGGTAACTCTAAAGTTTCTATAATTCTTTAATTTGTGTTAATTTAGATTATATTTTGTCAAAAAACTCTCCAAATAGATAAATTGATTGATGCTTGTAAATGTGTAGAACTTGATAACACTCACCAAATGTAGATTTATATCTTAGGCACTAATCATATCATCCACCCAAACTGCAGGTTTGATTTAAACCCCTGTGTTTATTTGGCCCTCTTCAGTTAAATAAATGCCAGTTAATAAGCGGCAAATCCTCCGGCATCAACGTTTGGAGGCGAGAATTCACTAAAGGAGTGGATCAAATTATGCTGCTATGTCTTTTCAGAGTCATGGATGCCCCCCGAATAAAAATAACTGCTGTGCCAGAATGGATGCTGTCCAATAAGCAGTACATTGAATAAAATGCTCTTTGCTGACTGATCTACCTTAAAAGGCAGTAAAATTTTCTTAACAGCAAATTTTCCGGTAATGAGTGGCATTATACAGCGCCAATCTTAATCTAATAGGAGTTGTTGTAATCACGTACCTTAAACTTCTACAAAACCTACCTTTCCTCACTAAATCACTGAGAACTAGATTCACGACGGCAGTATTCAAAGATCTATGCTTTCATTAGCAAATGAGTTATCTCTCAATAGCAACGCTAGAAAGATCTCCTTAACTCTTTGCTGGTGCTATTATCCCATGAATTCCAATTTAGCAATTTTTCCCGAACATTAAAATGGGAACACTTTGTCCAGGTCAGGATCCCTGTGCTGTGAAAGTGTGCTTATAGTTAAAAATTTTTAACCCGCAATGACATTTCCGGTAATCGTGCTTGGTAAGCATCAGAATGTACGACAAGCTTAAAGAGATAAATATCACACCTCTTTGTTTTTATTCAGCCTGTGATTCAAAAATGGGTGTAAGAAAGTGTAGCTCGTCATTCTGTGTGCACATGTAGATCTCAGGAGATTAATTACAAAGGCATGATTAATAGAAATCAGATTTATGCATTTCTAAAATGAGCATTTTTCGAGAGATTCACAGAAACAGGAAGATGTCAAAGTAGAAGTTACAAAAGTGGAACAGAATTGTTCAAGGACCTTCGAGATCCTGCTATAGTGAAAGCCTTTTCTTTGCTGGGTTCCTTAAGTCACCTATTACCACCTTCGGATCTGTCAGTGCCTGCAAGTTTCGTGGTTCCGTGGCGGTCTATTTATAGCAGTTCTGGTGGTAATATCGCATATCCTTTGTACATTTCAAAGAAAGCTGAAATCGGTCTCCTGTATTGTACTATGCTCAGCAGTTTGTAACTCATGCGAAAAGGACAAACAATTCCAAGTTGGTTGACAGGGTATCACATTTTACATCCAGAGGAAGAGAACGTATTCTGTAGTGACCGAAACAAACAATAATTCAGGGAAGCACTGAGGATGACACTCAAGAAAATAGAGGAGTCTTTCTGAAGGAACAATTCTTTAAATTCACCCCTTTGGTGTCATAGTGTCCCAATCTTGTCCTTTTCGCCAACAAACAACCAGCTTTTGGACACTCAATCTGTTTAAGGTCAGACTCATCTCATGTTGTCTTCGGAATAGACTTGGGCTCTAAAACAGTTACTTAGACTCCTGGTTTACCAAATAAAAATGACACGTTTTTATCTTCTTTTGTGCCTCTAACTTCCATGAAGATGAAAGAAGTCATAATACCAAAACCGAATTTGTATTGCAGACATACAGAAGGACGGGGTGGCTGCTGACATTACGGAGCACTAAATACCAGCGAAATCAAAACAAGAAGTCAAATAAGCAACCAAAGCATTGCAAATAATGCAAGAAAAGGTCTTATTTATTGTTTCCCTCATTTTCTGTACAGCAAATCAACTTTAGAAAGCATTCTTTATTAATTAATTGCTTGAGACAGGGGATAAGTAGGATCCAAAAGGTAAAACCATCCCCCACCTCTGAATGACACCCAACGTTTGGACTATCTCCAAGGCAATCGTCTACCATGATTAAGTCGGGAAAAGAAATAGCAAAGATGGAATTACAAATTGGCAAAATCTTAAGTGTGGAAACCTGCGCTCATGAGGAATGCCATTTAAAGTTTTGTTCAGAGATTCCTCGTAACAGCAGCAAAACAAATCAAAACACTTCAATGGGAAATTCCAACACTAAACCCACTTGCACTTCTTTTCAGATGAGACACGAGGTTGAATAACACCTCTTGATCCTTTAGTGACGTCTGTAGAGGTACTAAACAACCCACTGGAGAATTTCGAAATAAACTTCTTCTGTAAAATATTTGTCCAGCCATTTGATAGACTTATCACTTTTAAGGAAGGCTGTTCATGTGACTGCAACCAGTGGAGGGAGAATATGTGAGGCGAGGAGGAAAATGGGACCCAATTTCTAGTCTAGCAAAGCAATTCCGGAAATTTGTGAAATGGCTATTTCAATTTCAACTTCTTTTCTGCGTGAATTGGGACATTTCCCCATTACAAAATAGGGATTTTTCACAAGCCTAGGGCAACCCTTGAGTTGACATGGATGAAGTATGTTTCGATGCAAAACATACCAACAAATATTCTCTAAGGTCATTTGTAGAAACACCCGTATATACCAAACTAATCCTACCAAAGCCAGAAAATTCATTTTTATTATAGGCTGAAATTTAAGCGGTATAATTGTTGATAGCTTGACATTGCATTAATCTGGTTGCTTCTACCTCCTTCCAACTTAAAAGTGGGATCTTATTTCTCTATATAATGCCACACTGTTTAGGCAATACAATTATGGACTACAAATTTTATATCTTACTTGACTTTTTCCATCCTTTGCTTCGATTCGGTGGGTTCATATGTATTACATTGTTTGCATTAATCTCGGTTTTGGTAACAGAGCAATTACGGCTTCGCCAATGTCCTTACCACAGGTGGCATGGCCTCCCAACCACGCCATTACCCCTCAGTCTTTCCGTATGCTACCATTACACATTCCCTACGACCATCATGCATTCTTTGCTATTCTGGGAAGTTTAAGGGTTATTCTGGTAGCAGCGAAATGCAAACTTTATCCCAAGGAAGAGCCACTCTGACTTATATTACTGAACACAAAACCTTAACAGAACGGAAGAAGGGCAAATAAGATTGAGAAAGACGTCTACTCTTGGCAGCCACCCTAGTCTTGTATTCTACATGCATACTTTTAGGAACCGAAGCCAGGCTAGCCGTGAACCTCCTGGAAAAGTTCGGTATACAGCTGTCTACGATAACCGTTTGCAGATGCTCATGAAGTGAATATAAGGTAGTCTCCACCTCTCTACCAGCTGAAGAGAATCAAGGTAAACAGATATGACTTGGCAGCATAGAGTAAAAATAAAGTGACAAGGATGAATAAATTCACTGCTCTATCCCCAAAAAAACTATACGAAAACCCTGTCATTTGTTAAAAAACTACTTCTATAACGGTATTCCCACAACTAGCGTTGGACGCAGGAGATGGCCTGCACATTTCCTCTTCCCGCAGTACATTTCCCATGCAGGACAAACTTCCAAAGAGGGATAAGTGGATTTGGGATCAAATATCTCCCCAGTTGCATGCAAATTCTATGACTGCATCATCATCTTACATCATCGACTACGTAGTGATGACCATCGCGGGAGGTTGATCAAGGGGAGTGCAAAAGATGGCAATGGAATTAGGAGAGAGGGGCTACGTAGTATATGATTGGGTTGTTTAGCTTTTCTTTTTGGTTTGGCTGATACTCAAGGCTCTGCCATTGCACTTCGTCTAGGTGGCATGGCCTCTAAGCCATGTCAGTGGCCTTTTCAGCCCTTTGATACATCACTGATACGTTTTCTGACCTAGTGTTAGTTTATTTTCGTGTTACGGGAAGTCCCTAGGCGCTATTTGGTGTTTAGAGAGCTCGGTGATTTATTTAAAAAACTACAGAGGTAATCTTCGTAATTTGTTTACTGCTATCACTTTAATTAAGTCTGAATAAGGTAAACTCATGTTATGGGTAAAAAGTGGTAATTTTGAATATTTTAAAAGCATCAGAGAAATAAGTCTGTCTCCTGACATTGTTTAAGATACTAATTCATTAGAGAAACTTTATGATTTACAGCAAAAAAGTAAATCATACCCATTTTATGCGTCAGTAAAGGCGTATATTCTTCTACCGTTTTATAAATTTGGCTTAAATATTTAAGAATTTCCTATGAGACTTGACATTAATAGGGTGCATGTTTGACTTATGTTTTGCGATATCCGTAGGATTTATGCAAAGTCTTTCATAAATTTCCTCACCGATCCCACATCATTCATTTAAGGCTTATTTGCATTGTGGAATTATGACTCAACAATCATTTTATTCATTTTTGTGACATAAAACCAAATGAATGGAGGAGCACATTGCCCCATCCATCTACAAGCACATTTGGAAAGGCACTATGGGGTTCACGATTGCACTATTTCTTGTAATAAATAGGTGTGTTTTGGCTTTCTTCCATGTGATTCGATGCAGCCAACAGTTTAGAGAGAATTTTGTGAATGCCTACGTACACAGTGCATCCACCACCTCGCATTCCACTAGAATCGTATAATTTTTACTTGGTATCAAATGGGGGGGAACATAGGTATATATTGTGACTTACCCCTAATACTAACGTAGCCCCCAAGACTTCTCTGAGGATCAAGAAAGGCAAAATATTAAAAGAGAATATGTATTGTCGAAGTACAGAAGGGCTTTGTGGTCTATGGCGTGGCCGGAACGACAGGCCGCCCGGCGGAGTTGTAAAGGCGGCGCGACCAAGTGGCCCGTTGGCGAAACCGAGAATTAAATAAACAAGTAGCGCATTAAAATATGTTTAGTAAAACACACAAAAATTTATCAACTACAACATTAATTCGACGTTTATGCAAACAATAATTGCAAGGCAGAAATTAAGTTCCTAAAATACTTTTAGACAATACTTAAATAAAACTCCCTTTAGACCCGCTCTCAATTAATCTAATTGAACTCACACATTCATTTAAAGAACTGAATATTTTTTAAAAACTAACTTCGTTAATTTAAAATTTTTGCATTATTTCACTTGTAGTGTTTGTCCACTTTTGGCTGTCTTGCACACATACCCAAAAGTAAAATTCCTTCCAAACTAAGGCGGCCTAGGAAAATGCCTCTGGCTTGAGGAAGTACGCACTTGAATGGATGGTAAACCTCCTTTGGTTATAACTAACGCCACCAGCAGATGATCCCATCAAGCATTATATTGATCGACCGAAAGAATTTCTTCCCCTAGATTAAAAGAGGTTTTATAGAAACTTTTAGTAAACTAGTCGTTGGAACTGCTACTAATTTGGACTTAGCTAATGCTGGAGCTACCGATTTCAATGTCTGGTGATGTCAGTTATCAAGCTGTTCCCTGATGCAAATCGGTACTTTAAAAAATTAAGCTTATAGGAAGAACTCCGGAATTAGACCTTTGATGGGTGTGAAAATCACTGCTGATAACGAGTTTCTACTAATTACTCTAAAATATCACTTAGTAATACATTAAATTCTGCCTAGGGCAGGACTAACGCACAGGAGAATTTCAAGGTGCGCCGAAGCTTTACCCAAAAATGTCAGGTGGGACACGTTTCTACCTACCCGGCTCCGACGAAAGATGAAGGCCTCGGGTTGAAGGGGACGTCAACCTGTCCAGTACGGGATGTCCTAGTGACCTCACAGCTTATACACCCTCATTCTATCAGAGACCAGAATTCGAAACACATATGAAGGATGGCCAGGATTCTCGAAAATATAGTCATCTAAAGTGAATATCTGCTAATCTAAGTGAAGATCTATGTTCTTCCATAGAAAGCGTATCACAAAAAGGGGTTCTACTGTAAATATTTAAGATGTAATTTAAATTTCCCTAAAGGAATTTTATTTAGGTCTAAAGTTTCTCGTGGTTATCTTCAATATCCTGTTTAAATATTTATAATGAGTCATCTCACTACCACCCCTTCCTATCGGTCCGAGATCAACTGTGATTACCTTTCTTGTCATGCCTTGTGGGGACATCCTTTAATATCCAGCGGATCTTGCTCCAAAAAATAGCCATGTAAAATTTTTTGGGTATTTTTGACATCAAAACATGTTTTAAAGACCTTCTCACTACTTTGGCCCTTTTGAGGCGGACATGAGGTTGGGCGGCGTCTACATTTACGACCCCTAAGGAGATAATTCTTGTAGAATTCAGACGCAAATAGTTACCAATGGTCGAGTTGTTTGAGTCGACTGTCTATACGGAGAAGTACATGGGTAACAGTCTTTCCTTACGTAATCATTACTTTCGAATGATTTACTACCATCGAAAAGCAAGATCTTAATAATTACCAGTTATAGATCACATTGGGAGGAAAACTGATGTACTTAAAGTTCTCGGTGTTATAAACGACTATTTACTTTGTTCGTCAAGGAGGGTGAGTCAATGGTGAATTATTCAGACCAACGCCATTTTCCGATTCCATCTTTTGAGACGACTTTACGATTAGCGGGGCAAGGAAAGTCCAAGTTGAATTGATGCATAATTTAATTTAAAAGCATTTCACAGTTTTAAGTCGTGGAGTCATAAATAAAATATCAAAAGGCTTCTCTCTTCTTTCCTAAATTTTGCTGAAATTTTGTGTTCGTTGATTTATCAGCCAAGATCCCGATCACCTGAATCATTCAAGATTTTTGAAAGGCCAGTGATTGCTTCCCTCTGTAAAAGCACCTTCCCCACCAACAAATTGTACGTTTCAGTGTGCCAAATGAAGAAAGTTGGTTTAGTTTCCTTAATTTTACTCTTACTTGATTTCTATATTCCATTCCTATCACAAAATATTGTGCAATTACAATAATGCTTGTTCGGCTGTACCTTTAAGGAGAGGAATGGATTGTAAATATGAACCTTCGGAAGAATCAGAATCCGTCGGCTCCCGAGGAGGTGAAAACACACTCTGAACATACTCTTATTTATCGCTATCTAGTAAAATCTGCCTCCGTCTAACTCGCCTTCCCTTTCTGAGGGCATAAGGACCAAAACGGAAGAGAGGATCACCTAACCTAATACATAGCTGTATATTTCATCACGCTTATTTGCTTGTAAAGCCATATTCTACTACTTGGAAACTCCTTTATTATAACGTTTTTGACATTGTTTCATCGGTGTTAAACACATGAACACACTTTAAAATAGAAGAGCTATAAAGATATGAATTGTAACGTAAAAGCCTGAAGTGGCTCACACTCACTTATGGCAGAGTCCTAGACACACGGGACAGGGATCAAGTTGATAAAGTAAGAAATGGTAATGCTACTATAGGTTGTTCAACTTTTCATTTTAGTTAAGCTGACACTTAAGGGTACGACCATTGTATTTCATTCCAGTGGCCCAGCCTCTAGGCCACGCCAGCAGGCCCTCAGCTCATCTGTGTGCCGATAATATGTTTTACGTCGGTATTATGTCTCCTTTCGTATCCAGGGAAGCCTAAAAGCGCAACATTGGTGGAAGCGAATGGCCAACCCAATCCTGAAGGAAAACTACCTTGATTTTCATCACTTAATGCCAAATCCTAAAGCAATGGAAGAAGGGTATTTGCTATGAATGGTTGAGCCTGAAGTATATTCACGGCAGCCATTTCAGTCCCGTGTTTTGCGGGAAAGCTATTAACAACAGGAGTAACACTAATTGTAAAATTATCTGGAAATATTTTCTACGGAGCTGTTTACACTACGTGTATGAAGATGTCAATAAATGAACGCGCCATGCCTCCTCCGTCTCTCTAGTAAATGGATAGAACCCAGGTAGATATATGGCTGGACAGCACTGAAGTAAGTACAATATAGCAAGGAGGAAGAGACGCTAATCTTCATTTTCACGAAGCTGTTTTAAAAACCGTACTTAATTAAATGACCCTGCTTTAAAGCCGGTGTTCCTACAACTATCGATGGACATAGAAGATCGCCTTCACCTTTCCCCTTCCCCCAACACAGTTCTCAAAGTGGACAAAACTTCATATCCAGTGAATTTTTTAGGACGGATTAGTAATATTGGAGTCGGATAACTTTCATTTGTATGCTAATTCGATGACTGGTGCGGTTAGTTCATGGGTGTTTTTCCTTGCATCACCGGTGGCCGATGCGGTATGTTGACGAATGGGAGCACCGAAGACGAAGCTCAGAAGAAGAGAAGGGCTACGTAACACTTTAATTGTATGCCTGATTCTCCTTTGATTTCAGGGCCTCCTTAAGCGACATGGCCTCCGGGCCCTGCCATTGGTCACTAAACTTTACTGTGTATCGTCAACACACTTCCTCCCCTAGCATTTTGTCTTCTTTCTACTTTAGATAGTCTCGACGAGCCGTAAATTAAGCAATAGAAATTTCAGCACCTTATTGTTTTTTATATTTAAGAAAGAGTTATAAAAGGCAGGCAACACCTGGCAACTTAATCGTAAAATAGGTAAATTTGAGCCTTCCGTTTTGGTATGGTTAAATGAAGTCATTTTGGAGTAAAATTTTAAAATGATTATTTTGGCTTTTACTAGTAGCATTTGTTGTCTGTTTAAAGAGTGAAACCTCGTTTTATCCAAAATATGGTAAATAAAACGTTTTATGAGAACAAAAACCTGAATAACATCTAACAGCAGAAATAGAGGGAGCAAAGTGCAGTTACACTGAAGATAAAATGATGTTCTAAGGGAGGAGTAGAAAGAAAGAATGAAAAAGGTAAACGAAACATCTTTAAAATCAGTTCTTAAGAAAACATACATCTTTGCAGGATAAAAGCATTTGACTTTTTATTTTGACTAACGGGCAGGATTGTGAGCACTAAAGAAATGCGGCTAAATTGATAAAATTCGAATAGGGTTCTTGGTGTTCATACAACTACCACTAAATACACATAGTTGCAACAAGGGCGAAAGCAAAATTTCAGTAATATGTTCGGCTTTTGTAGGGTTTTTGACATTCTACTTTTGAATGATTACCTTGCCATGATAAGAAGAAAACATTAAGCGGCCAGTATAGTAATATTATAACAAAACACCTTAAACACCTTTCTTCTATTGTCTCTGTAAAATTGTAGCCTCTCGGAACGCGCCAGTTCCAAGGATAGTTTACAGTAGTTCACCAGGGGAAGTTACATTGATGTCCAAGCGATTGAGGGAAAGAAAAGTCTTTTTAACAAAAGAGGGATTTTGTTAACAAAATAAGTTTTACTTCTGACAAAATTGGTGCAAGAAAAGCAAAAACAATAGCAAGGAACTTATATAGTTCAGTTTATAGAATGAGAAACAAAGGACAGGTTTGATGCGCTGTTACTAAACTAACCATCTCCACAAGATGATAAAGTGGTCAAAACCCGATTCGCTTTAATATTGCTTACATAGCGCCCCCAGATTTCTTTGAAGATGAAAGAAGACACTAAACCAGGGCAGAATATGCATTTTCGACGCACAGAAGACGTGGGGGAGAGGCTACTGGCGTGGCCCAGAGACCGTGCTGCCCTGCGGAGGTACAGAAGCGGAGCGATAAGTGTCCTTGAAATCAAAACGTAAAGTTAAATAGGTAGCCAAAGTATTTCGTTCCTCCACTTTTATCTTACCAAACTACTTTAACAAATGTCTAAAAAGATCACTTTGCTTTTAATTCGGTTAATACAAAATTTAGGAACTTTGCCAATGTCTAAATACTTTTCTGAGAGAGGCTTAGCAAAATCCGAGGATCACTTTGGTTTAAACAGGCTGTCATTTATTTGGTGGTGAATGTAGTAAATGAAGGGACTTTAAGATGAACTAGGAATCACGTGAAGTTCTTTAAGGTATTGCACTGATTTAACTCTGCCTGATGTTTCCTTTGAAGATCCATATGCCTTTTTGCACCTCCTAATTACAATCTTGAGCTAGTAGATAAAAACCAATTGTAAATTTCTCAAAATCTTCCAGTCCGTGCTAAAGGTCACCAAATTCCTATGGCAATTAACCAAACTTTGAACCAGTAAGCTCTTTTCCTGAAGGCCATTCCTTTGGCTACCGACCAATTCATTCATCGATCGTCTACATAAATAAAAAAGTGGAGAAAGCTTAGTAGGTGATTATAAGATATTACTTAATTTTGAATGTTATGACTTGACAGTTTGTTCCACTCCGCGCTCGATTACGTGAGCGCCAAAGTCCTTGCAGAGGGTGCTTTCAGTAGAAGGCGTGGTCTCCGGGTCGTGTTACTAACCTCAGGTCTTTTCTACGTTGGTAATACATATTCACCATACTACTGTGATTTCTGACGACTTCATTGAAGACTGGGAGCGCTATAATTAAGTCAACAAAATTAATAAATAAGGTGCTGGATGTCGTAGTTAAACCAAGAGTTTTTTTACTCCTGGATAAATTCCCACAAGACAGCCAACCACTTAATAAAACTTGAAAAAAATGAGGACTATAAACACTGGTGGCTTTGCACCCCATTTTATTCTATTAATTTATCTTCCTGAATTAAATTATGGAATAGTCGGTTCCCATATGGATGATAAGATTAATTTGATAGATCAGTTGCCACTCCAGTCCACAACCTATTAAAGACAAGATTGGGATCACGATCAGTCGTTGGAGGTCATGTGGCGAATGCACCCACCAAAGTGGATTGCTTACAGAATGGCAGTGGGCAAACCCATATGTAGGTTTTCGCGGATTTGCACCGGGGACTACTTGTCTTGTTACATGTTTAAGCCCAACAATTTTCTACCTCCTAAACGTTTCACGATTTTATTCTTCTATCACAAGGGAGTAGAGCGGATTAATGATGGTCATAGTCCGTCAAAGAAGTTCAATAAGATCAAAAGACTCTTTAAATCTAGAATTCCAACAAATAACTGAAGTCGGCATTACATTTTCCCATGCTTTCCCAGCACGTTGATGAAATAAGTCCAACAATTGCTGTCCAGCCACTTTAGGTCATTATCAAGCTCCGAATTCAGCAAAATTGATACTGACAGTTATTATGTATTTGAGCAGGGCTTTACTATGTGCCAAACAATCTAAGTGAACCAAGTTGGAAACTTTGTATCCTCATGAAGCTACGCTAAGAGGTGCAAGGTAGAGCTACCGAAGGTCATGCCCTCACTTTGAAGGGATCAAAATAATTATTTCTACGGAGAAAGCGGGACTCTACAAGACCTCCTGATTTAACAGGAATGGTAGGTGTATGGGTTAATGAGACTCATGATATTGGCCTATAAGCATACCTAACAAACTAAAGTCTTTGGGAAATTATCTTATTGATATAAGGAAGACCCCAAAAGTTATTAACATGGACTAGATGCTATTCTATGAAAACAGCAATCAGAGCAAAGAAAATGAGGGGTTTGTGCAGTAAATTTGTAAGCTAGAACATAATTTTATTATCTTTTCAGTCCCCGTTTTCGTCGTTACACTATGTTTCACTTCAAACCACAGCAGAGAGGAAATAATGCGCATTTCATCAATGCTGATGTACACTGCAGACTTGACTGGAGTTCGAAATTATCACAGCAACAAACTAATTCCGAACTCCAGTCGGCACTTTGTACGCCAACCTCCATTTTATCTGGAGCAAAAGTAGCTCTAGAGCAACAAGAGAAAGGAGCCATTGTGTACTTAGATCCTTGGATAAATGATTGCGTTAAAAAAGAGTAGTGGGAATTTAATGGAGAAATGCTTTTAGCTTGTTCAAATCTAGTCTCACATAGTTGTTTGGGTATTTTTGCAGCTCCCTGAGTCTTTCGTGAGGACGAAAGAAGACATAACACTCGGGCAGAATATGTGTTGCTGACGTACAGATGGGCTAGGGGGCTACTAGCATGCTCGGATATCTAGGGCGGGACATTAAGTACACGTGAAACCGAAACGAAGAGTTAAACGGACAAACAAAGTATTGCAATCACTACCAAACTCGAGGCTTTGATGGCCATTGAAACCCACAAGGTTTATAAAAGCCTTCCATGGTTTCTTTATGCATATTTAATTGTACACGGTAGATGTCCTCCTTCTATGACGTTTAGGCGTGGTATCCACCCAAAGTAATCAGATCATACCTGATTCTAGCTTGATTTGCCAACCAGTATAATCAGCTCTAAACATTACTGATAGTAATGACAAAAAGCGCTTACTAAAAAGTATCCTGAAATACATACTGGGTGGGAACTCAAACCACATGAAATACACAGATAGAGAATTTGTCTTATTCAGCTAGGGACACGGCTCTTCTTATGCCAGTTGATCTCATGACAGGCATTTCGGATAGACTTTAGACTGACTGCTCGACTGGCTGATTGGATGCCGTGGGGAATGTTGTGCTACTGCCTTTTGCTTTACTTGACTAGAAATTTGTACTTCTACCTTTCTATCTATCCATAATGCTTTGAGAATCCGGTTTTGTAGGACAAAATTGGTTCATTTTTAAGGGGCAAGACAAATTCTTGCCAAGAAAAGTGCATCACAGGAACTGGTCAAGCAAAAGAAGGGAACGACAAACTGCGGCATACGGAATCTGTTGGATATTTTCACGCGACCTCTGGCAGGAGCTAGTGACAGCTCAAATCGACAAAAAATTAGACAGAATGGGATACCGCGGAATGTACCACTTTTCACAACGAATATTTTAGGTCGCCTTTAATAAAACAAAGGTTTTCGGGCATTGGAACTCCTAAAACTCATGCCTTTTGCCTTTCCTAAAAGACAACGCTAAAATTTCCCCACCTCTGACTAAACTCACCAGTGAGTGATAATTATTGCCGGTCATAGGAAAAATGGGACTAATTTTAAAGGCGTTTCACATTTTCAAGGAAGAGTTCATAAAAAATCTATTTATCTCCTCAAATTCCCCCAGAAAAAGTGCTTTCGGTCCAAAATTTTTAACTCTTTGATTTAATATTAAGCGCCAGGAAAAGTGGCAAAAAAGCTATCAAGTTGGAGTTCTCGGATTCGAAAAGAGATCTGCCTGTAAAGTTTTTCGTGCACGAAAGTCAGAAACCTTAGAAGACTACTAGAGGACTTGCCCAAATATAAGAGGCACAGGTTAAAATACCCTTCTGATTGGGAACGAAATTAGGTCTATGTAAAGTAGGCGGCACGTTTGGCCGAAGAACACGCAATGTCTAGTTTTATTTCAGTCTGCAATTTCCCCAAAGAGATATCTGCATGGTAGATTAAAGTTCTTTTGAAATCTGCGCAAAATGCAAATTCAGTTTAATTGCGTAGCGTCTTTTCGGTGCATAGCTACTTCTGCTTCTACTGTGAAGATAACTGTGGAATTCCCCTTAACCTCACAAAGCTTTCCCTAAATGGGCTGAAAACTGTCCAGTATTTTTTAAGGTATTTAGGACTGAAATTGCATAAATGCGTCCTGCTTGCTGTTCAAACGGCGTGACCTCTGCAACTGACTTGGTATGAAGCCTTACAGCGCATGGTCTAGTGATTTTGCATCCTTCCTACTAATGTTCTGTGCACCATGAAATATACTTGCATAAGCCTGGTGATTTTATCACGTTAACCCATAAAAAATACCAGATAAATTTGTTGATTAATTGCAGAGCTGAATTTTTATTTCAGAAAACAAATGTTTACGAGAACCTAATTCCTTTCACAGAACTAAGCACATATATTTTTGTTTTGAAATATAAGCACCATTGCCCCTAATTTCTATCTTAACAAGAATTTAAAATAATTTCATTGGCGGGATCAATTCCTCTCTGTCGTCTCGCTCTCTCTAGCATGCTTCAAGGGGATTCTGGGCATTATGGAGGCGCTTTTTCCTGCACCACTCTGAATCATCCTCGAGGGTGTAACATGGCGTATCGGTAGAGAGGAGCGGTTGTTTTTGTTGTCCAGCAAAAGGGGCTAGCAGAATACAGATGTGCTTAAAGACACGTAGCACCACGTTACTGCTGAAACTTTAACAGTGCGGAAACAAAGGAAAGAAAGGTGAGGAAGCCTGAGCGGTTGCAGCCCTGTTCAAAAGGCCAAGCCACCCAGGTAAAAATAAAAAAGCTAAAGGTTGAATAATGTGCGAAGGTGAACCCATTTGCACCAGAATAGTTACTTTGAAAACCATCCACAAGGCAAGAAGGATAGTAGGTAAATGTTTGCAGGGATGGGGAATTATTTAATTGCTTAGTCAGAGGTGCACCTCATTGGCTTCATCGGAAATAAAGTTATTTCTCCTTTTAGATTTCATTGGAAGGGTCGTCTACATCTGGACGGTGTTCTACAAAAAGTGCATTAAAATTCAATCCCCATCTGCCAAAACACTCAAATAAGCTTAGATTAGTTCAGCACGGCATAAATCCATATGATTCAGTTTTAAATTATCCTTGCTACTTTTCTTTTTTCAATGATATGCAAACTTTTCCATGGAGGATAAAATTTGTAGACTGAAAAGTTTTCATAGTTGGGCGTGTAATTATAGGCAGACTCATTTTTTTAACTATAGTCCAAGAAATATTTTTTTGTACGGTCTTCCGTTCCTGCCACCATGACCTCGGTGGCTTGCAATCACCAGGGATGATGGGTTGAAATCACAGGGTTGGGAGAATGATACTTACGGATTGTAGTGCCTGCCATAGTTTTGGTTAGGATCTCTGATCCTCGTGTTCGAAGCATGACAAGATATCCTCAAGGATTCTACTGACTTCGAAGGGATACATTTTGCGAAATATACCACGAAGCGTTGCTTTTATAAATGCATAGTTGTTCGTTTGGGTCAACTCGGCGTAGCGCTACCACGCCGTATCGGCCCGATTCGCCCCTGGGGGCATCACAGCGATGTCTGTATGGAAGAATGCCATTGATATGAATGGGAGGCAGCGCCACTAAGGTGATGGTAAAGCTTAAGGGGATTAAAGAATTTGCCCTGGTAACTGGCAAATACAACCGATACAAATTTGCTTTTTCGCCCTTTACATTGCATATTATTTGTGAAAAACTATATCATCTGAAGAGATAATCTTTTAAGAGTACCTTTCACCTAAGTCAAAAAGTATCCCTTGTTCTTGACCAAATCAGACCATCCTCATTTCACTGCGTAGGTTTTTTGACGTAAATGTCTTTCATTCTTTTACTTAAGGCTTGGAGTTTTCATGTTAAAGTGGTAAGGCGAACAAAAGAAATCAAAAGTCCTCATCACCTCCCCTTCGAAAGATTTTTTTAACAAACCGAGCAAAATATAGGTTTTACCCACTCATTTTAGCTTTCTTATATAAGATTTTTTTCTTGTCGCAGCACTCCAGGTATGCAAAAGTGGCTTTCGTTTTATCACTGAAATTCGGTTCATAATTATTGCATTTTATGCTTGTAGGGTGACTCTAAGAGAAAATCAGGTTAAACGAGGTTGAGAAGGACCTTTTACAATTTGGAAAACCAAATGAACTAGCAGTGACATACGATTTAGTGAGTGTGATGCTTTGGTCATTTACCTAACTCTTCATTTCGGT